TACCACATAATTAAACTGAAACCTTAAGAAAGCAGGTGGATCCCCAAACAGACCAGCTTTTCCTGAAATCTGGTGAGTCCAAGCTGAGTCAGCTTAATAAGGAAGTCCTCTTTACTTTAACCCCATCAACCAAACCAGTTTTTTTCCTTTTGTTTTGCCTCCTTGTACCCACCTTACAAAATCCACTGTTCTACCTTCGCCCAGTGGGAGGCTTTGTTGTACACATTCCATTCTATAGACTGAAGGATGCTCTGGATTCATGAATTGTAAATAAAAGCCCATTTTTTTTTTTCCTGTCTTTTTGAGACAGGGTTTCACTATGTGCAGTTCAGGCTGGCCTTGAACTCACTTTATGAGCTCAGGCTGGCCTCGAACTTAAAGTGACCCTCTTGCCTCAGCCTCCCGCAGGCTGGAGTTATAGGTGTGTGCCACCATATCCAGCACCAATTAGAATTTTAAATAAACCAGTTAAAAGACAGTTAAAAATCTAAATCTGTATATATACATTGTTGTTTCCAAAATGTATATATACATTTTATATATATATATATTTATATATATATATATATATACACACACACACACACACACACATTGTTGTATATATATATATATTGTTGTTTCCAAAAGCTAAAATGAAGTCATAAAATCTGGCTAGATATATTCAATTTTAAGTAAAAAGTACACTATTCTTTGGTATACCCTGAGAAAAAATTACGCAGGTTATTTAATCTAAAGGATGCTGCATAATTCTAGAATGCACCTCTAGATTATGGTCCACAGTCTTTTTTCTTTTTCTTTTTTTAACACCAAGGCTTTGATTAATTAGTGATTTCATTTTAAAATAATAATATTATAAGAACAACTAGAATACTTAATTTTTATTGAGTGCTTACCATATATCACGTCATTCTACATGCTTTTATATAGACTATCTCAGTATCATTCCCATTTTACCTATGAGAAAACAGAGGTTAAAGTAACTTACCTCACTCAAAACTAGGAAGTGGTAAAGCTGTTCTCTAAAGTGTAACAATATGTCTTACTGTATTAATTCATTTATTGAATGCCTGCCACATTCAGGGCAGGCGATGTGCTAGACAATGACATTCCTTGGGAAATCACAGTCCAGTAAACAATATAAACATGGGCAAAGAACAAAGGAGGAAAATCAACCCACACTAAGATATAGATCTATGAACTCAGAACCCTAAGCAGGAGGAGGTAAACATTTCTACTAGCTTGATTCTGTCACAGGGGAGGGTGAGGGACAAAAGTCACATAAAAGATCAACAACCAGAATGGCTCTGGCCTTTACAATACCAATACTGGAAACTAGAGGGCATGGAACAGTGTCTTCAAAACCTGAAGGTAAATGATTTCAAGACTATAATTCTATATCCAACCAAACTAACAATTACGTGTGAGGACATAATGAAGAAAACACGTTTTAGAAATGTGATGTCTCAAAAGACAGGTACCATGTCTCAGGAGGAGTACTATTAAAACACAAGGAAAAGCTAGGATGAAACAAAACATGCCACAGAAAACAGGCAAAGCAAATCCTCAGGATGAGGACGATGGGAAATATTAGGGACAACTGTTTACACAACCAAGAGAGGAGCCCATCCAGACTGAGGAAGCATGACTCCAGAGATAGAATTCAAGAGTAACTGCCAACACTAAGATGCTCTTGCTATTGCATTGGCCCTTTAACCTGACAATGCTATGGTAAATCTTCCCAGATGAACTTTTGTCCAAGTTTTGCCTGGGCTATGTGCTAATGAAGTTCCCGCTTTCTCTCCATGCCCTGTGTGACCATTAATCTTGATATGTCAACTTCATTACATTAAGAAACACCTAGTGGATTAATGAAGTACATTCCCAGGATGTGTCTGAGTAGGTAATGGAGACATGGCTTGGATATTATATATGGTCCCTCATACATTCCTCTCTAGCACTGCTCCCCTTTTCTGATTCTGGGCCACCATGAGCTAAGCAGCTTTGCTCTGCCATACTGTACTACAGTGATAGTGAACATTTTAGAGCTGTCAATAATACCAACAGCCCACTGCAGTATATGTACCATAGCTTCACCACCACTGCCCTATCACTATGATAGTTCTGCCTTGGAGCCTACCAACCACGTACGGAATCTCTTGAAACCATAACCTATTTTTCTTCTTTAAACTATGGGTGTCAGGTATGTGTCCAGCAATGGTAGGTCTGACTAATATACCCTGCTTTCTAGATCAGCTAAGGACTCTCATTTAAAAAAAACCAAAAATACTATTTTAACCTCCGTTTGAGAACTGAAAGTCAGCTATTATGAACTTAGTAGCAGAAAACAGAGTAGCCCATATCCTTTAACCATGTTCCTGCTGAACATTCTGTAAGAACCTAGTTTACAGTGCAGACTGCCAATGTATTGACTATAATGAGCTTTATGTTTCCCAGGATTGGTTGCTCACTATTTTTCCCAGGAGGTGTTCTTATAAAGTATCAGAAAAGCTGAAGACAGATTATGATTCAACAACATCAAATTTTCCTTTCCACAAATACTTTAAGAGGGACACAACCTTTTCTTATGCAGGCAGCTTTGTACTTTGTTTTTCAGATTTAATATTAGGCAGTTTACACATTTTTATACTTTATACATAAACAGCTAAAACATAAATAAAGTACCTTAACATTTGCTTTAAAAATTCATTAAAAGAGTAGAAACTGCTACAAAGGAAATGAAACTTGCTGACAGGATAGAGTATCATGGGTAACACCAACAATGGTAAAAAGTTTTCAATGTAACTGAAAAACTTTTGCTCCACCATGGACCCTAGAATCTCAGTTGTAAGTGGAAATAATTGTTTTTGCTGAAAGCCTTTAGAAGAACCAGCTTCTAGAAATTTAAGCACACTTGGTTCACAATTCACATTTCCAGTTATATTAAGTAAGAAGGTTCTCTGTGACTTTATTTACATGCCAAATTAGTGGATTCTCAATTATCCTCAAATCAACGTTCTTTCCTACAATATAACAATATTCAATTTCTGTGAATCAAAATGATCTCAGTGAGCTGGTATAAAATACTTTTCAGAATATCTTTCTAGATGCGTGGGAGAATTTTCTAGCTCACAGCTGCCAAAAATTTTTCCCTGTAGTTTTGGGGATAATGTTCTATTTTTAAATAAATTCAGTATTTCCTTACATTCAGTTAAAAGTTAACAGGGAGCCTTTAGGGAGACAAAGTAAAGGTTAAGCCCTTAAAGAACACTAACCTAGTGCTGGCAGACACCGTTCTATTTGAGTCAATAGTCACTCATAGAAGGAGTAAATTTTTGCAAACTTGTAGGTAGCTACTAGATACATTCTACAAATAATTCTATTTAGACCATGGCAATTCCACGTCTTTTAGTTTGCATTACCCTTTTTTTTGGTACCAGGAATCGAACTCAGGACCTTGCACTTGCCAGGCAGGTGCTTATGCCACTGAGCTATATCCCCAGCCCTAGTTTGCATTACCTAACTCAACCTAATTTATAGGATTTGGAGTTGTTAAAGGCTGCTGCCCCTCAATTTTTCTTGATAAACTGAAATCATCTTAGAGAAACAACCAACACTGCACAAAAGACTTCAGGATTTCTCCCACCCCTCTGTAGCTCTCTAGCGTCGTCTGTTCTCTATTGCTCACCTCCTATGAAAGGTCAGGCTAAGTGGCTTTTGGTTCCTCAACTGTTGCTCTTCTTTTAAGACACAATAGCTTTGAACTCACTATGTAGCCCAGGCTGACCTTGAACTTGCAGCAACCCTCCTCCCTCAGTCTCCCAAGTGCTGGGATTACAGGCATGTGTGCCTCTACACTTGGCTCTCAATTGTCACTTTCATTTACATCATTATACAAGCCATTCTGTGACTTCATTTGCCCTTATGTCCTTTACATCTCAGTTTAGGCATCACCTCCAGAGACTTCCCCACGCATATTTTCCCATGACATCCTATACTCTGTGTGATATTCATCACACCAGCAATTAACATTATCTTCATACTAAACTGGAAGCTCTAGAGGGCAGGGATCATGTCTACTGTACTCATGTTCTGCCTGTATCATCTTATATAGCACATGTAAATATCTGTTAAACTGAACTAAAGCTTTCATCATTAAATTTTAAGATAAGTATTTCCAATTAATTTAAGTGTTCTGAGGTAACTACCTGACTTTTATTTTTTTGCGTTTTTGTTTTGTTTTGTTTTTGGTACCAGTAATTGAACTCAGGACCTTGTGCTTGCCAGGCAGGCGTTTGTGCCGCTGAGCTATATCCCCGGCCCAATACCTAACTTTTAACCTTTCTTCCCTCCTCCATGTTATCACCCATCTACTTCCTCCAGAAGTTAACAACTGGTTTCCATTTAGGCTAAGTAGGGAATGTCAGATTCATTATACGACTGTTTCAATAATATTAGGACTTTATTCTCTTCTATAAATTCCTTTCAAATTTTAATATAATTATATATCATAATTATATGTAATTATAACAGTTTAAATAATAAGGGTTGAACATTCATTCCATAAATATTGACTGTGAACAATTAGTATTATATCTAAAATATATGAAGTTACTGGCATCTACTTCCAGTCAGGACATCATATTTCTTTATCTTTTAAAAATATACAGTATATACTTTTTTTTTTTGAGACAGGGTCTCATTATGTAGCCCAGGCTGGCCTGAAACTCACCATCCTCCTGTTCAGCCTCCCAAGGAGGAGGTTGGTAGCCACCACACCCAACTAGATACTTTCTCTCCATGATAGAAGAACACACTAACAATATGTTTTGCTTTTAAAGTTAATTCTAAAAGAAAACTATCAGAAAAATCTGAGAAACAAAAATAGAAGCTTACATGCACTATGCCTTGGAGAGGTAGACATAAATACATTCTTAACAGTAACAAGAAAATTAAAATTTTATTTTTGTCAACTGTTTTTATGTGCACAGTCTTCTTACCTTAGAGGTTGTGTTATCCCAAATGGCTAGACCAAAGTAGTCTTCTTCCAAAAGATTGAGATGCTCGCATACTCGTTTAAGCAAATCTTGTCCCTTAGCATGTTTCTGCAAAGATACACATATTTTAGTTGAAGTTTCTTCCTACTCTTATATTCATCACCAAATAAAAGTCTCATTTTCTGACTCCTTCTTTTATCCTTGGTTACTAACAAATTTTCACATGACTCCACATTCTAAGTAGAACAACATGATTTATAAAACACCTGATCCTTGTGGGCTTACAAATGCAACACATTTACTGCACCTTAGAAACTGTTACCACGCAACGCAAAATTCCACTTTCCCTCTATCCGCTATACCCAACTTCCCTCCAAACCATCACATTTTTAAATTTTGGTGCAGTATTTCCTGAAGCATGCTATGGGCCACTGGCAGTCACCATGGCCAACAGAATTACCAGTGAATCGACTGTCAATACTAACAGTTAACAGTGGCTGTGGAAATTATTAGATTATCATTTTCAGAACAAGAGAATGTCTTAAGAGAATAAGCTATGCCTCAAGTCCCTCCCTATAGTCTTTTTAGAAAAATATATAAAGTAAAAATTCTAGATAGACTGGGGACACTACCTGTTAGGGTAGTCTTTCAGTAGTATTACAAATAATTTTCTTAATATTTTGCGACCTAAAAAATTACACTTCTCCCAAATTTGCGTACTTACATTCCTCGTTATGGGGAGGAAATATCCTAACTTAATGGCTGTGATTTAGGTCAAAAGTCCCATCTCCTTCATTGTACTAACCAATGTAAGTGGTTTCAATTAACTTTAGCTTTCTTCTATGTAAAATGATGAGAATATTTACATTGGTCCTACCTATCTGTAGGAGTTTTTGGCAACACCAAAAATTAAACATGCTAGTCTTCTGAGAAATACACGCAAAATTACACCAAAACTTTTTTTGTAATTTTTAAGTCATAGTGCTGAAAATCAAATCCAGGGCCTATACATACTAAGCAAGTGCTTTACCATGGAGCTACATCCCCAATTCTAGAAATCTTTTTAGTTCATATACATGGCAATACTCTGCCCTGAGATGAGTTATTTTTAACAACTGTTAATCATCATAAATGTTCATTTCAGTCTTAACTCATTTGTTATATCTTTTCACTCTTTTTTTTCTTTCCTCCTCTAAATTACAGAAGATGATTTGTAGTCCCTAATTAATAATTCAAAATCTAGAAATTCTGAAAAACAAGTTTTGGTTTTTGCTTTGTTTGTCTGTCTGTTTTGGTTTGTCAGCAAAGCTCATTTGAAGGAAAATTCTGACCTAAGCTATAAAGAGGCTGTTGAATCTTCATATATTTTTCCATAGAAATAGTATGTTTGATTCTGCAGGACTGCTCTATATACTGATGGAGGTATTATGAAATACACAGAATATGTACTTGTTGCCTTTCTAAAATCTAATCTATCTTGAATTCTGAAACACCTCTGCATCCACAGGGAACAGTATAAGAAGGATTCAACTTCAGACTCCTTCTCAAACCTGTAATTAACCAATAATGGCAGGGTGAAAACTGACCAAGACAAATGCCATCTATGAAGAATCAGCAGGAATCAGAGAAGTCCAAAGATAAGGACAAAATACGCGAAGTCATGTTCACTTATATGCATTTGGCAAAGAAAAATAATGACTGACTGCCTAATCTAGCATAGACATTGATTGGTTAACTTGACAGAAAGATTTTAGGTTTATTTTAAATACAGGGATTTAAAGATTCCTAAATAAATAATGAATAATTTGGCAAGTTTTAAAAAATGAATATAGAATAGCTTTCCATACCTCTACAGTAGCTACTGACAAGAAGCAGAAAAAACAGGCCCTAGGTCTCTTACAGTTTCCAGATGTAGCAAGTATTTTCAGTGTACAATTGTATATTTTTCTTGATTTTTTTTTTTAAACTTTAAGAGTAAATGCAGTACCTATTAGTAAATATAGCATACTACTTTAGACTATTTGTCTTTGGATATAGTTGCATTTGGATAAAATTCAATTCAGAAATAATTTATTGCTCACCTAAGATACAAGGATATGTGAATTGCATGTTTTATCAATAAAAGCCATTAGTAATCACAATAATTGTTCATATACCAAGTATATCATAATGGCAACTGCTGCTCCAGTTGTTTTTTTTTTTTTTTAATAGCTAATAGATTTTTGTTTTGTTTTGTTTTTTTGCAGCCCTGGGAATCGAATCCAGGGCCTTTGCACTGAGCTACATTCCCAACTCTTTTCTTACTATTTTTTTTTATTTTGAGACAGGAAAGAGCTCACTAAATTGCCCAAGCTGGGCTTAAACTCCCAATCTTTCTTAGTCTCCCTGAGTGCTGGGATTCCAGGCATGTACCACCACCATACCCAGTTCAGATGTTTTATTTTAACTTGTCCTGAAGGAACAAAAACAGAAACTGAGTAACTCTGACATTTTTATTCAATTCTGATTCAATTACTTATTCTTTCATAAAATGTTAAAGAACTTTTAAAAACGGTATTACTTGATTTATATTTTTAATATTCTATCTCATGAGGCTAAATATACATATTACATAAACTAAAGATTAAATTTTAGATCTGGAGAAGCAGAAATGTTATAGATAGCTATTTTTCTGACAAATGTAATTATAGGGATAGGTGGACCTAATATCAGAAATTGACACTACCTTGGGAAATACAGTCATAGAAAGGTATTCTATAAAACAAATTTATTTTTTAAAAAAAATTATTTTTACTATAAAAGTAATACACACTTAGGTCACAAGATTTTGAGAGATGCAGAAAAAAACTGGAGAAGAAAATAAGACCCATTTGTAATTCACCCACACTCTTCATCTCCAGAAAATAACTATTAATACTGTAATCCACATAAATAGTCACTGGAGTAGATCTCACTTTGAGCAAAGGCACTATTTACCCACCTCTACATGAAACAGTTTGCTAAGAGTTCTGACCACTGAAAATTAGAATGAACTCACCTCCACAACGCATTCATAAACTGTGTCGTCCAGCAATGAGACCTTGCAATGCATGTTTCTGTGTCTCCTGACAGATTTCTGGGAAGCTTTTAAATCTCTTTCTGCTTTTGCTTCAGGATCTTCTTTTACTTCTGCTTTGGAGCACTCTTCAATTCCTTCTTCCTTAGTTTCAAAATCTGGATCTTCTCTGTGTTCTTCCTGAGCTGGCTGCATATCCATGACATCACCAAGATAGTAATAAAGACATTTCACAAAACAAGCTCTATACATTTTTATTTATAATAATCCTACTAATGACAACACTAACTGAAAAAGAAAATCTATTAAATGAGTATTGGTAAAATTAATATTAAATACTTATTTTTATTAAAAAGATGTTATGATCCCTCAAAAGATCTACAGACTTCACTATTCTCAAAACTTCTCAGGGAGAAAGAACCCTATCATATCAATAAGTAGAGGTTGCAGGTAAACCACAGGACACCTATGTATTTTTCTCAGCATTATATTTTTCCTATGATACTACATGATATTAAAGTCTATTAAAACTTCATTTTTGTCCCATGTTCCTCAATTTTGGTGAGGAAACCTCATGAATTGCAAGCTAAGATGTGATTTTTCATATATTTTGAATTTTATAAAAGACTAAGAGGGGCTGGGGATTTAGCTCAGCAGCAAAGTGCCTGCCTGGCAAGCGCAAGGTTGTGAGTTTGATTCCCGGTACCAGAGAAAAACCAAAAAAAAAAAAAAAGACTAAGAGAGGTGCTTGGGAGCTATTTTAAGTATTAAAAGCAAATACATGTAACTTGAAACTGTAACTACCAGTCAATTCCTTTCTACCAGTAGTCAATCATGCTAACTACAAACAAAATTCAAAGAAGAAACAGACTGAAATCTAGGTCTCCTAGGATAATAATTAAATTTTCCAAAGTAATACAAGAGAATGGGACAACACTTTGGGATACATTTTCTCACTTCTAACACAATAAAACTGCTGAAAGATTTTTCACTAATCCCCACTAATTCTTTTCACTCAAAATAATACATGACTGACATGTAGGAAAAATTTAATTGTGTGGCTCCTGCATTCATTGCTGGAGGTGGTCTAAAAAGCTCATACCCATCCTTCCCACGCATCTCAGAAGTGATCTCAGAGAAGCCTTGCCGTCATAAGCTACATCTGTCCTATCCTCATCCTATTATTTTCCAGTCAATGCTGTTTGTTGTCACTTGTTATTTGAGAATGTACATTAAAACAGAGATTCCATCTCTCTCCAGAAAGAATGGCTATTATCAAGAAATCAACCAATAACAAATGCTGGTGAGGCTATGGGGGAAAAAGAACCCTTCTCCATTCATTGCTGGTGGGAATGTAAATTAGTACAACTACTATGGAAATCAGTATGCATATTCCTCAAAAAACTAAAACTAGAGGTTCTATTTGACCCAGTTGCACCCCTTCTAGGTATCTTCCTGAAAGAGTTAAAATCATCATATCACAGTGATAATAGATACCACTGTTTATAGCAGCACAATTTATAATAGCTAAATCTTGGAAACAGCCCATATGCCCATCATATGGATAAATGAATGGATAAAGAAAATGTGGTATTTATATACAACAGAATACTACTCTGCCATAAAGGATAGCTTTGAGTCATTTTTAGATAAATGGATAGACCTCAAGACTATAATGTTATGTGAATGAATTGGATACACAAATTTAAATACTGTATTGTTTATCCTGTGTGAGAAACCCAAAGGGTTAATAAGGAACAAAATGAAAATTAGCTACTGGAAGTAGGAAGAACATGTTCAAATGGGAAGGGGAACAAGCGAGACAAGAGGCAGGAAGGAAAAGCAATTTTAAAGAAAGAATGGAAGGGAAAAATGGAAACAAAACTTTTGTAAATGGGAAGGAGATTAAGAGTTGAAAGAGAGCAAGGGGAATAGGAAAAAAAGAATTAAGACAATTATGTACAAGTATAAATTCCCGATGAGGAATGTGATCATTATGTATGGCAAATACATATGTACTAACAAAAATAGATTTTAAAAAATACTATTTGTTGCCTTCATAACACTTATTACAATGAAAATTTTGTATTTGCTACTTGTGTCCCCCTTTAGAGTATAAAGTTCACAAGGGTAGGGCCATATCTGTTTTATAATAATAGCAAATATTTATACATCAATTGCAATGGGTCAGTTATTATTGTAAGGCCATTACTTACATGAATTAATTTAATCCTTATAACAACCCCACAGGCTAGGTACTATTTTTACCTTCATGTGACAGATGAGAAATTCAGGCCACAGAAATTAAAGTAACTTGCCTAGCATCATACAAATAATAAATCACACATAGTCTGGCTCCAAACTCCATGATCTTAAGCCTCTTCATGATATTTTAGTTGTTAATTTATCAAAGTATATCCACATACATGGAATATTTTCAGCAAGTACTGTTGAATGAATGAACAAAACAATTTAACTGATAGATGGTTTCTTAAAAATCCATGAATGAGGGCTGGGGATTTAGCTCAGTGGCACAGTGCCTACCTGGCAATCATGAGGTCCTGAGTTCAATTCCAGGTACAAAAAAAAAATAATCCATCAATGAAGACTGGTGAAATCCTATAACGTAAATCACTTTTAGAAAATTCCATATATAAGCTAGGAGTGTAGCTCAGTGGTAGAGCACTTCCCTAGCAAGCATGAAGTCCTGGTTCAATCCCTAGTACCATAAAAAAATAAACTGGATAGAAAAAGACCACTTAGCCGGGCATGGTAGCACATGTATGTAATCCCAGCACTCAGGAGGCTGAAGCAGGAAGATTATTGCAAGTTAAAGGGCAGCCTAGGTTACATAGTGAGTTCAAGGTCAGTCTGAACTACATAGTGAGACCCTGTCTCAAAAAATAAAAACAAACAAAAAATACAAGAAAGAAAAGAAAAAGACCACTTAAATTCCACTACACATAGAGAAATACGATTAAGCAAATAAACTTTTATTCATAAGGTCCTGGTCCACAAGGTTTTGATTATAAATACTAGTTCCAAAGCTTAAAATAATTTATTTCTTTAAAGAATATACCTTCAAAATTATAACAATAGTAATTTCTTTCATCATGGACAAATACCTACATATAATTTATCTCAATTCTGAATTAAGTTTTGATAAAATCAGAATTAAATCTAAAATTAGTTTTATCCATCATCTGTTTTCAGAGATTTTTAATATAAATCTTGATCTTTGGACAAAAACAAAAATGGATTTTTCCTACATAAAGCAAAATGGAACAAAGCAGTTTTAAAAAACCAAACTTTTCAAAGTGTTAGGTTTCCTGAAAAACAATATAACTTAACTCTTTTGGTATTCTAAAATTTAAATTACTAATATTAAGATAGGGGCTTCTTATCTTAAATTCAAAGGTATTTCATAAGAGCTTATATGGCAATACCTGAGAATACAAGTAGGGTTTCTTTGACTTTACTGTGCATTTTTTTTTTATTTAAGGAGAAATAACAGCTAAAATTTATTGACTGATTATTATATTTCAGGCTTTATCTACTTATCTCTTTTAACCTTCGCAATTGTCAAATGATGTGGTTATTACTATCCCCATTGTCTCTAGAAGAAAATAGACAATGTGAAAAGTGCCACCTCTCCCTGATTTGGCCTGAAGCTGACTCCCAGACTGCATTCACAGCTATTACACTATACAATGCATTTTGTTTTCAACTTTGTTTCACTAACAGGAAGTGCATAATGACTACTTTATCCTAAATTTCACTATTAGCACTATAAATATGGAAGTACTATATCCAGAAATCATGTAATATTTTTAGAAAAATCTCATAAATCCATACAGCCCAAACCTTACACCTATAATAGAAACACCCGGGGCTGGGGACTTAGCTCAGCGGCAAAAGCGCCTGCCTGGCGAGTGCAAGGTCATGAGTTCGGTTCCTGGTACCGGAGAAAAACCAAAAAAAAAAAATAGAAACACCCATCAATTTAACAATGCAGATAATGTTCACATGCTTCAGAACATTATTTTGAAAGTAACCGAATTTGTAGGTAGTAAGGCTGAAAACAAGATTCCCAAAAAATAGTTTGAGTTACAACACTAATATTTCCCCTGCTTTTTGGTAAATGAACAACTCAGTTTAGTTGCTTTGAGACAAAATTAAAGCCCTACACTAATAAATATTACACAGGTGATAGAAGACCTAAACTTCCTCATCTGCATCTTACACTCCATGGCAACATAATCTAGTTAGAGAAGATGACCAAAATAAGGCAGGCATGGCTCAAATCTATTTCATACCCTTGGATGGCTTGAATTGATCCCATAGCTTTTATAGAGATTTCCACAAAAGGACCACATTAACTGGTAACTATCCTATTCCTATAATTCCACCAAAATGAATCTAAAACCATCTCACTTTTTTTTTTTTTTGCCTTCTCATTAAAAATCTTGGCTTATTCCATTATTTTAGCAAAATGATTATTAGCTGATTAAACTCACTTGATACTTGTCTTTCACTTTCTTTTATTTGATTTATACAGTATATTCTTTAAAAAATCAAGTTTCTGCTGACCATATTAATTTCTTTAGAGCAGAAAGTCCAAAGCTTCATGCTATTGATTATCAATGCCCAAGACAATAGCTGGTAAGAAATAAAATCGTATGTTTTTCAATAAAAAACAAAGGATATACTCTGACTTCCTTATGCCCACCTTCCACATAGTCACACATCCTACCTGTGTTTCTGCACTGCTTAATGAATGAAGATCCAAGGATGGGTCTGTTTTGAGCTCAGGTTCTGGAGCTGCAATTGGGGCCTTTAAAATGATCTCTTCATCCAGGCTGGTTCCAAATTCTATCTCTTTCTGCCCTCTTTCACCTTTCTCTTTATCTGACTCTATCTCTTTGCCTTCTTCCTCAGAGACCTGAGATTTGGGCCTTTTGAGAAATGAGGAGAGCAGTCGAGACAGGCCCCTGCTTTCTGCCGTCCGCTCCTTGTTCCTGGTCAAGTCTTCATGGGTAGGAGTGTCTCCATTGGATGTTTTCCGCTTCTGCTCACACTGATTATCTCCCTCAGCCGCTGCTTGGGAAGCCTCTTCCAGCTGAGTTTCTTGTTGGCCTGAGTTTGTGGCTCCTTCACTTTCCTCCTTCTGTTGTTGGTGCTGAGAATTTTCAGCCTCAACCACTAAACTCTTCTCTGTTGTCATGATTTTGCTAGTAAAAAGATGAAAAGGGGAGTTCTTATAAGTGAAAGATATTACTGTAGGCAAAAACCCTAAACTCTAAAAAAAAAAAAATTAAGTACCTAATCACAAAGAAACAGAATTCCAATCCATTAAATGTGAGGTTTTCCATTAAATGACAAAAATATTTTTACCTATTCATCCTGAATGAATTATTAATCCCTTGAATCACTAAAGATCCACACAGATTAGCTTAAAATAATACCCACTGAGGCCATCTAGTAAAATATATCATATATTAAACTTGATTCTCAGAATTACATACAGCAAATATAGTTTTATCCTTCTCATAAAGAGGATCTTATTTTTATATTGTCCTTCAAGGGTATCAATCTGAAGGGATAAGATTTTCAGGAATTATTCTCTGCAAAATTCTCCACATTCCAAGAGATGATTAAATTTAAAAGTTCCCTAAGTCTTTACTGCTCTTCTTCATATTTCTTAAAATGAATGAACTTCTCTATTGAGAACATGTGTAAAAGAGAAAAGGGATTTTAAAAAACAAAGAATGAAAGGGGAAAAAATGGAAACATAGCTTCTGTAAACAGGGAAGAGAAAGAAGGGTGGAGGGAAATGAGGAAAAAAAGAATTAAGATGTATTATGGGAAAAAAACAAACAAACAAAAAAAAAGATGTATTATGTACAGGTACAAATTCCCTATGATGAATGTGAGCACTATGTGTGGTAAATAGGTACTAATAAAATTTTTTTAAAAGAACAACATGTGTAGAATTGTGATTGTTTGTTATCAGAATTGACAACGGCAAGTACACAGTTAAGCACAAAAAACTCTTCAAGTTTCTATATTATAACACCAAATCCACCTCGCCCCTGTTGGAAGGTTCTTTGAAACTATTCTTTCTTCTGATACAAATGATTTGGAAAGCTCAGCATTTTTGAGAGTAGGAAGTGAAACTATTAAAGTAGGGAAAAGCAGAAACACAACAAAGAAAATTTTAAAAAATAAGTTTAGTTTTTGTGAATCAGAATGTAGGGGAGGTGAAGTCAAGCTATATACCTCATGTATTTCAAACTTGCTGGTTTCTGGCCTTTTGATCTCAAAATTCCAGTGCTATTAGTCAAGTCTCACAATAAAAGCCAGAGTATGTCACACTTAGTGACATACTAAATCTTTAGTTTACTAAAGAATCACCAACACACAAAGAGAATTATAAAATGCCAGGCAATGAAGCTATCAATGATTCTACACTCTGATTCACTGGTGTACTTAGAAGTGCACCCTACCATTCAAAATGCAGCATTTACACTGTCACTGCACCTTCTCCATATCATTTGGATTAAGTAACTTTCTTTGAGTATTGACAATCCAAATTAATGAGCCATACTTAGTTCATTTTCTCCACAGGCCCCTCACATTTGCTGTTTTTATACAATATTCTTTTCCTGGCTATTAGGAGGCTTCCCCTTCACATTATTACTCTCTCAGCTCAGATATTACGTCCCTCTGCAGGCTGTAGCTAAAGTGGTAGTCCTCATTCCCTTGGATAATAACCTCACAGCACTACTGCATTTATTATCTGCAACTGTCCTGTTATCTTACTTGTTAACATAGTTTGTAGCCCCTGTTCATTGTCCCTCCCACCAGCTAAGAGGTTCGTTCCATGAGATCAGGGACTTCCACTGTCTTATCTATTTTTTAATCACCATATATCCAAGCCTAGAATAGTACCTACATAAAATAGACATTAATAAAAGTTTTTTTGAAAGAATTAATTTCAATTGAGTACAAAAGAAAGCTAATGTGGGCTGGGGATATAGCTCAGTGGCACAAGCACCTGCCTGGCAAGTGACAGGTCCTGAGTTCAACTCCCAGTACCAAAAAAACCCAAGATGGTATCAATAAAAATACGCTCAAGATTTAGAAAGAAAGAAAGAAAGAAAGAAAGAAAGAAAGAAAGAAAGAAAGAAAGAAAGAAAGGGAAACTAATGTGGCCAGGCGTGGTGATACATGCCTGTAATCCCAGCATTCGGGAGGCTGAGGCAGGAGGATCGTTGTGCGTTTGAGACCAGCCTGGGCTACAAAGTGAGCTCAAGGCCAGCCTGAACTGCATAGCGAGACCCTGTCTCAAAAAGACAAAAAAGAAAAAAAAAAAAAGAAAACTAAGATGTATTGGACACCATCTCTGTGCCAGGCCCATACAGGGGTGTTATCCACATTACCTCAACTAAACCTTAGAATCAGCTGATCTTAAAATTGAAATTTAAACTCACTAAGTAATTTGGTGACTAGAGCCATACCACCACGAACACACCCATCTCATCTGCTCTCAGAAACTAAGCAGGATTAAACTTCACACAGAAAGAAAATCCAGACAACAAACCTCCAATTATGCTAGGAGTAGTGATGTTATTTGAGAGCACCATTTTACTTCACATTTCCTTTGCAAAAATAAGCAATAAATGCTGAGGATGCAGCATTATTTCCACAAATTTTAAATATGCTTCACTGTTCCCCTAAGAAGGAACAGAAACCATTTCTATATTAAAAATTTCCCTATACAACAAACTTCACACCAAGTTCTCTCAAAAATACATTAAAAAATTGACCCTGACTCAAAAATAAAAATAAAATTAGACATAAGCAGAAGGGCAAAAGAATTCTACTAGAAACTACTAAAACAACTTCAGGCAATTTCATATATTAAATACTAGAAAACAATCAGGAACACAATTCAGTAATCAGCAGTTAGTACAACTCAGTCTACACAAGAAAAAATAAATAAATGTGGAAGGGGCCAGGAATATAGCTCACTGGCACAAGCGCCTGCCTGGCAAGTGCAAGGTCCTGAGTTCGATTCCCCATACCAGAAAAAAAAGAAATATCAAGTATTTACTCTGGGCCAGGGATATAGCTCAGTGGCGTAAGCGCGTGCCTGGCAAGCGCAAGGTCCTGAGTTCAATTCCCAGTACCAAAAAAAAATATATGGAAGGACAGTTTGATGGGTGTTCTCCCATCCATGCACACATGTTAGCAATGTTATTAGTAAGAGTGAGAAGTAGGGAAAGGAAAGAAGAAGGGACTATGGGAGACAGAGAGATGGACAGGGATAGAGAAACTTAAAATGAAACTGATAAACCATATAAATAAAACCAATAATCTTCAGTTAGCTTTAAGGTTGATCTAAACAAATTTTTAGGGGCTGGGGATTTAGCTCAGCGGCAAAAGCGCCTGCCTGGCAAGCGCAAGGTTGTGAGTTCGGTTCCCGGTACCGGAGAAAAACAAAAAAAAAAAAAAAATTTTTTTTAAATAGCAAAAAGAAAAAATTATAAACCATTTATTAAAAGCTCAAATAAGCAGCCAGGCATGGTGGCGCACGCCTGTAACCCCAGCCCTTGGGAGGCTGAGGTAGGAGGATCATTGCGAATTTGAGACCAGCCTGGGCTACAAAGTGAGCCCAAGGCCAGCCTGAACTGCATAGCAAGACCCTATCTCAAAAAGAAAAAAAAAGAAGCACAAATAAGCATGTTCTTATAAATCAGTTATACATACAATCTTCTTCGCATTACAAATGTTAGGATGGGTTACCAGAAAAATACACAAAGAAATACTCAGGCAGTAAAAATAGGTAAGTGCTCTACAAACTGACTTCCTGTGTAAATGATACTGTTTTCATTCTGGACACAAAATCCAAAAGAAAGTACATATTTAACAACGTCAAAAGAGGTCTTCTGATTAAAAAAAAAAAATTAACACAGCACTAAAGACAAAGTGATAAATTCCCATGCCAGCTCAATCCTAATCCTCCAAATCCTAAGAATTATATCCCATGTGGTATCAAAGATACGCTTGTTTTAATAGTGTGCATCTGTTAACTTTAAGCAAATCAGATTTTTTTAAGCCCTGTACTGAGCAGACTGGAAAGCCCAAATGAAATCTTTCATTTTTTTTTTTAAATCTCTTTCTAAAGTCAGTAAATCAATGTTACATTAATGTTTCTTGGGTGGAAAACTTTGTAAATAAACTAGAATTTGTCAGCATTGAGAAAATTTCCCTTACCACCAACATTTAAAAATGAAGTTTAATGATTTAATTATTAGTGATATTCTTCAAAGTAGCTCAGAGAGCATCTATCAACATTGACTGGTGCTAACCAGGTATAAAGTTTTGGCTTGGTATTCTGAGAGGGACCATAAAAGAAAAATACACAATTCTTAAGTTGATAAGAAATATATACATATAAAACACAAAGCAATACCTGGTGCTTAACCAAAGACTTACGAATGAAATCAACTAAACAATATACAGCAGAACTAAAAGGTAAGAACTTTCAACTAGAGTGATCAGGAAAGGCCATGTTGAAAAGGCAGCTATTATGTTATGCTTTGAAGGGTGAGTGTAGCTGTCAATAGAAACTTGAGGTAAAACAGGTAAATGGAATTCTAGAGGGATTTGCATTAATAAGAATATTACAGCTCCTCAGGAACTAGTAAGAATTCCAGACTGGTTGGAATAGGGTTACAAGAGAGAAATAGAAGGAAATAAGGTTAAAATACAGTTTTCATTTAAAAGTAGACTCTAATTAAAATAATAGCAGCTACCATTTATTGAGTACCTACTAAATGACACACAGTAGTTCTAAGTGTTTTACCATGTTATTTCACAACCATTCCATAAGGCAGACATCTCTCATTTCCCTGCCTTGAGAGGTTAAATATTTTGCCTCAGTTATAGAGCTAAGCCATGCTTTAATAAAATTACTACAGAGTGGTGATCCCACTGTAAACTCTCCCCTAGTTTCTGTCTGCATAAAACACAGTACTTCCGATGCCTCTGCCTCAGAGATACTTCTTTGTTAAGAAACCTGTATGCTGAGAAATTATAGCCTATTCAATCTGTCCAAGATACCTCTGTTCCTACCAGTTGCAAGACCCACACCCATGAACACAATTCTCTTTATCCATAGAGTATATGTGACGATGAAATGGGAGTCAGGAAAAGGCAGACAAGA